ATATATATATATATATATATATATATACACACACACATATACATATACACACATACACTGTATTGCCAAAAGTATTGGGATGCCTGCCTTTACACACACATGAACTTTAATGGCATCCCAGTCTTACTGCGTAGGGTTCAATATTGAGTTGGCCCACCCTTTGCAATTGGGTGGGCCAACAGCTTCAACTCTTCTGGGAAGGTTATCCACAAGGTTTAAGTGTGTATCTATGGGAATGTTTGACCATTCTTCCAGAAGCAAATTTGTGAAGTCAGGTACTGATGTTGGACGAGAAGGCCTGGCTTTCAGTCTTCGCTCTAACTCATCCCAAAGGTGTTCTTTCGGGTTGAGGTCAGGACTCTGTGCCGGCCAGTCAAGTTCCTCCACTCCAAACTCGCTCATCCATGTCTTTATGGACCTTTCTTTGTGCACTGGTGCGCAGTCATCTTGGAACAGGAAAGGGCCATCCCCAAACTGTTCCCACAAAGTTGGGAACATGAAATTGTCCAAAATGTCTTGCCATGCTGATGCCTTAAGAGTTCCCTTCACTGGAACTAAGGGCCAGGCCCAACCCCTGAAAAACAACCCCACACCATGATCCCCCCTCCACCAAACTTTACACTTGGCACAATGCAGTCAGGCAAGTACCGTTCTCCTGGCAACCGCCAAATCCAGACACGTCCATCGGATTGCCAGACAGAGAAGCATGAATTGTCACTCCAGAGAACACGTGTCCACTTCTCTAGAGTCCAGTGCCGGCGTGCTTTACACTCTGCATCCGATGCTTTGCATTGCAATTGGTGATGCAAGGCTTGGATGCAGCTGCTCGGCCATGGAAACCCATTCCATGAAGCTCTCTACGCACTGTTGTTGTGCCAATATGAAGGCCACACGATGTTTGGAGGTCTGTAGCTATTGACTCTGCAGACAGTGTGTGCTTTAGCATGCACTGACCCTGTTCTGTCATTTTACGTGGCCTACCACGTTGTGGCTGAGTTGCTGTTCCCAGTTGCTTCCACTTTGTTATAATACCACTAACAGTTGACCGTGGAATATGTAGAAGCAAGGACATTTTACGTAACACCTGAATCTTTGGCACATGTTCATGGAATGCATAGGTGTGATTGGGGACATAAGCATGCTACAGTTTCATATTGTACAATTAAATGCTCAAGTTAATGTTTAGAAAACGTTCATGTTCTGATACAATTCTTTGCTGTATTTTTTACACTTTATTCCATTGGGTTGCTGGTCATGAGCTGGTGACTCGACACTGGGACTAGGAGTAACTGATATTGAGTGTGTGCTGACAAAGTCAGAAAACATGAGGCAAAGGTCAAGAGTTAGAGCCTGGAATCAAAGACAGGACTAAAGACAAAAAACCCAGACAAGAAAAGAAAACAAGGATGACCTGACACCCAGCAAAAAGTCCACAAAAAGGTGTGCGGTCTAGGCAAGTGGTTCTGTCTACAACAACTCCCATTATGAGGAACTTATGAGTGAGTGGACCAGTGCTTTGCTCAATTAATTTCCTTCTTTACCTATGTAAACAAGCGGCCAGGATATGAAAGGGAGAATAGAAAGGGAAACTAGTGGACAGCCTGTGGGGGTTAAATTGGGAGACACGATGTTGTAGGTAAAGCAGATTGAATTACACAGACATGAGGTACAGATTACTTTCGATAAACAATCAAGAATTAGACTGGCTGTAAACATAACACAGGGCATGGAGAGAATAAATAGGAATATTAGGCAGGCACAAAATAGTCAACTAAAGTACAGGATAACATGGGAAAGGGCAGCAAAGAAGCTGAACAAATGCAGACTGGGCATGAATTGACACCCCCAAGACTGTTGGGTAGGGAGACATCTGTGTGCCCTTGAACAGTGCAGCTGGTCCAAGAACGTATTGTGCAACTGCACTGACAAGCCGAAATGGCACTGTCCACCATTTATTTTCTTCATTCTCAGAAAAAAGAAAAAAAGAATAATCCTTTCTATAGAGATAGTCAAGTATTTCTAAGTGATAGCAAGCACTGCTGATACCAAAAAAAACCTATTTTTATCACCCCCAAGGTCGCAGAAAAATAAGAAAAACACAACCAAGAGGATGGGAATGATTTGAGTCAATACTGATGGAACATGAAGTCATTTTACACCCTCAGGGATTTTTCAAACTAAAGACAGGTTAAATCGAAGGCAGTAAGAGATGTAAAAAAAAAAATACAACCCAAGTCAGAAACAGGTACAGACAAACTAAATAACACCACAGTTGGAGGAGACAAGAGGATTTAAAATCAAATCCAGCTGCATCTTTACAACTACTTCTGTTGCAGTCTGTATGCAAAAGCACATGGATGGGTACTTAGCACATACTGTAGGTTCTCATCAGACTTAATAGATGTTATTTGAAAAATACACAGAACCAGCTTACATAAGGTCACAGGAACATCACAGGTAGTCATTAATGTCCCACAAGTCTGTAATCACAGATTCCGCAAAATATGACCTACATGCACATTTGCATTTTAAACTGGTATTGTAACAACAAATATCATAAAAGCCTGGCCGCACACTGCAAACTTCGCTGAAAAATTATTGTAGCACACAGGTACACATCGTTCTGCTGTGGATCACAGGGGGACAATATGTACCTGTGTGCTACAATACATTTTTCAGCGAAGTTTGCGGTGTGCGGACAGACTTTTTTTTCCTGTGAGTAATTCATGATCTAACACACTCAAAACTGTATCCTGATACTCTGTCTGTACCATGAGGGCACATGGGTCATTTAAAAAAAATGTAGAGTAGGTTGTTTTCAAAGCTGACAAGCACAAAGTCATGCAGCATATTAAGCAGAGCACAAAACTCCTCATTACAATCACTGCTATTTAACAGGCGTCTAATGATGGATTCATTTATTAGACCCTTGTAGAGTCCCTGTATGTGGCATATCTATCTATCTATCCTCAACCTACCTAATCAATGAGTATGTATATGTAAGCATGTATGTAGGTTTATTAGGCTTTCTTCTTTGGCAATTTTATGGTAAATAAGCCTTCTAATTTGGCAAGCGTAAGGCAAAAGTAGCTTCAAACAAGAAAAGTGCCCTTTAAACTAGAAGTAAAGATAGTAGTCACCAGCACTCACTTGTAATGTGCAAAAAGCATAGCACTTTTATTGATATGTAACATGCGTCAAGAAGTCAATGTTTCGGTGCTGTGCAGGGTCCCCACGTGGTCACAATGTCACCCTGATGAAGGGACCCTGTGTGGCTCCAAAACGTTGGCTTCTTGACGCATGTGACATATCAATAAAAGTGCTATCCTTTTTGCACTTTTGTGAGTGCTGGTGACTACTATCTTTACTTGGATTGTTACACGGCACCATCTGTGTCGTCATTTCGAGCACCAGCGGATATTTTCTTTGGTTCAAGCGCTGTACGGTGTGCAGGTGATTTTCTAACGCTCTTTAAACTAGAAGCACACTCTGCTTCTAGCTGTGACATCTATTTGCTATGTGGCATGGAGTTGCTGATAATGGCATGTCCAACGACTCCGACGCATTTTGAAAGAGAGAGAAAAATATAGAATAGAAAATATATAGAATATAGAAAAAGAGAATGAAAAGGATGGTAAATGATAAGGAGAGAGAGTTACTACATCGTTTTTACGGTGTTATGAAAGAAACGCCAGATAAGAAAACAAGGTACAGCACACTAATGGACCTCGAACCTACTACCCACTTTGATTTTTCAAAGTACGGTGCCTTATACAAAAGCAAACAAATGGGTCTTTTTGCACCATAATATTATAATCACTATTTTATTTCAGATGGATTAAAAAGTCTCCTAGTAGCGTATGTCAATATAAAAAAAAAATTGTGTACACGTGAGCTAAAGCAGCACACCATGTCTCTGGATCTTGACTGAAAACAAAAAGAAAAGCTTTCATTACCTTCAACGGTTACAATCAGAAACTTTAATTAAGTAACCAGCATGCAAAGGCCTGTAACCCTGGTATAAATCAGTTACACAAAGAGCCGTAATGCTTCTATCTGTGAAACAAGCACCAATGCCACTATGAACATACAAAGCTTATCACTGATTACATTATTGATTTGTCAAGCTGAAGAAACAAAGACTGCATGAAGTTTGAAGCTCATAAATCACCGTGCCATGCCATTGCAACATATTTTTTAAAAAACCCACAAATCTCCAGCTAGGAGCCACGCTGACAGAGTACCTAGTTATTCATCAAAGGCAGAATAATTCACTAAATGCCCAGCTCCGCCTGTGATGCCATGCTGTTCGGGGGTTGATTTATGTGCTGCTCACCGTTAAGTGGCCCTCGTGATGACCAGGGAAATGTATGAATAAATATTCTGTGGCTACCAGCTGCATTATAGAATCACCCAGGAATTCCATTCTTTGGTTATGGCCTCTATAGGAGAAAGGAAAGAAAAATTGATGAGAGAAATCGATAATCACTCAACGAGTAGAAAATTAAAATTAAGAGTCATACACACATTTTATTTTAGTACTGCATAGAGACAATGTTGTTAATTAACTGCTCCTATTATACAAAATAAACATGATCGCAAAGGCTTTTTTGTGAATGCCTTGTGCTCTAAATCGCCCAAAAAAATAAAAGAATCAAGGACAGAGTGCTTGTCTCTTTGTAAAATGATCACATTACATGAAATACCTGGCAGTGGCCGAGCATCTCTATTGCAGAAAAAAAAAATAGGTCAGGAAGAGTCTTTATTATTAAAAGTCGCAGATAACAAATGGATGACCGGAGCAGTCTGGGAAGCTGCAGTTTCGTAACAGGCCGTGCTGCCAGTTCCCAAGGCACTGAGGCCAAAGCTTTCACATATGCCTTCTGCATTAATCTTGTAGCAAATGGGGAAGATTTGGGAATGTCAAGAATTCCATTGTCTTAACAGTACATACTGAAATGAACTGAGGAGACAGGAAACTTAATGCCGTTCTATAGTGTGTAATTGTTTCAAAGACCTTGACTTTAATGACAGCTATCTGAAGTCATTAAAGAAATAGCAACCCCACTAAGATAAGTATTAAAGGAGAACTATGAGGTGAGTGCTTTTCACTCACCTCATAGTTCTAGCCTACCTGTGACAATGAGACTGTCACAGGTCGGCTCAGTAGATCGGGAAGTGAGCGAACACATACTGGTGTTCGCTCACTTCTCGATCCTGTCACGGCTCTCTGCCGTGACAGGGGGGGGGACTGGATTCCCCCCTCCCGCTCCTATCCTCCAGCGCTGACTGGCGTAACGGACGGACGGGGGTTTGCATGTACAGCTGTATAGGCAGAGCCAGCTGTCACTCACGCAGCTGGGCGGATCCAGACATAATTGTCGGGATCCGCTTCAGCTGTGGCGTCTAAGTATACCGCGGGCTGTAGCTCGCGGTATACTGCGACATCTCAGTATACCGCGAGCTGTATACTGAGCTTAGGGTGACGGGAGGACACTAGTTTGTGTCCTCCCGTTACCCTAAGGAGAACTATGGGGAAAAGCCCTAACCCCATAGAACTACAAATCCCATGAGGCATTGCAAGATTCTCACAGCCACAGACATGACTCACGAAGAGAGATGCATCATTGGATTTGTAGTTTCACCACAGCTGGAGGGCCGGAGGTTTGCTACCCTGTTTTAAAGCTTTCATTAACAAAGGTTGGCCATGCAAAGCCAATTCTCACAAGTCACCTGATCCTTCTAAACATTTTCCCCAAGGCAAAGGTGAGAAATATGTTTGATGAAAGTGCACCAAAGTTGAGGTAAGTTTGACGGCAAAGAAATCCAAATCACAGGAGGAATGTTGTCATCCCCCTTGACAATGAATTTATGTTCTACTTATCTATGGCCATTCAAACTTTAAAGATAGCTATCAAATCAAAGGCTATACTTTACTAGGTCAGGGATCACACATGACAATACTAGCTATATGAATACGCAGTGTCAGTTATAAGGCATACTCATGAATCGTCTGGGAAAAAGTGCTTTTAAATGTCATTATAATATCGTGTCTTTTAAAGTCAGATAACATTTGCTATTACATTGTTCTGAGAATGCTAAATGCGTACTGTTCTTACAAAACCCGTTAAAGCAAATGTAGTCTCTCAAAAAGATCACAGAACACCCCTTGAGAATGCTTTCCTTTTCCTTTCTCCCTAGTAAGTCAGTGCCAACTTTGTTCAGACATCATCCATAGTCATAATCTACTTCCTGGACTAACATGCTGGAACACAGATGATCCAGTCATTTAAATCCAGCTGACGGTGCAGCAGTCTTCATGATTTCTATCTACCTACTCATGACGTACTCAAATCTACCCCCTGCTGCTGCCTCTCGCAATTAAAATGTTACAATCCCAGCAGAATGCAGTTTACTTACATAAACCAGGGATTCATCAATGCAGACTTTTAAAGACAATTCTGCTTTAAAGGCCTGGCTCACACCTGAGCATTTTTCCATGTGTATCTATACGCCCGTAAACACAAAAAGCAATATATTCTTGTAATACGCATGTACAAAAATGTGGCAAAAAGTAAAAGTGCAATTTTCTGGGCGATTTCTGCACAATCTGACTGTGGTTGTAGCCGCAAACGCATGGAAAACTATGTGTCTATTACAAAAATAGCATGTTCTTGTGCGCGCATTTGATCGCATGTTTATGATCCGGCAAAAAAACTTGCTGGATTCAAAACGCAATGTGTGAATGGAGCCTAAAAAGTAGCTATAATACTTTGCTGTAAATTCCATGTTTTTTTATGTTCATAAGTTTTAAAAATGTTTATTTAGACCTGTGTGTTCATTATCAATATATAATTTTGTTTTAGAAGTAAACATTTGATGCATGGCAAGAGTTCCCAAAGCACTACGGGTTATCTAAGTAGACAGCACAGCAGCTTTCTGAAAAAATAATATCTTTTGAGGACTCTGATAAGGAATGAGTCACTGCTGATGACACATTTCAGTTCTCACAGCAAGGTTGTTTTTTTCAGTGCAGCTAAAAGGCATAACGATGTGAAATAAACACTGGGAATCCTTCTAATATTAATATTTTATATTTACCCAATATTGTTTAATATAATATAAAAAAAAAAAGAAAAGCAGTACATAATTACCATACATTTCTATTAATACAGTGTGACTTTACATTTTATCTTCAGTGTTCCCTAACTATATAACTCAGTGATATAACTTTAATTCTAAAGAGCTGTAAGATCCAAAGTCTACGGAGATGAAATGATTGGTGCAACAGGAAAATTACCCACAGACGGCAGCAAACGACAATATAATTCTTGTAAAATTGTAATGTTAGACAATGCCTTCATTGTTCTCAGAGCTGCTGCTCTTACTTAGATAAATGGCAGTGGCTGGCTAAAACACTTTTAGAATTTAACTGGGCATCTTATAAATAGATAATTTTACAAATTTTCTACTTACTGCATTTTTATCTGCACATAATTTTGAAAAAAAATCAATTTGACAGCTGAAGTTACTTTAATGGAACATGATCATTATTCATTTTAAGCTATTTTTAAAAAATTTTTATCATCATAATTTTATCCTTATGTAGGACATAATCTACATTACTAAACTGATTTCACGTAAAGCTGCATAGAGGGTGGTCTTGCATTTCTGTAAAAAAGGAATGGACAGGGCAAGACTCTATCAAAGCAATGGCTCTATGCCTCTCTTGCTAGCATTACAACAGATTACTTCATCCTTATTAGCTGCCTCCTTTGACCCTTCAAAGACACTTATTAAAACAAACATACAGGACTGATGTCCTATTACAGCAATTAAACACTTCACACTTGACCACACACAGGGTGATTTTGTCATTAAACACAAGCGACACGAGATGGGTGTTAATTGAGTCAACATATTAATGTGGGCAGATCAAAAGGGATTGTATGCAAAGTTGGTATATTAGAGTTGGCAGCACTTTGGCACAGTGAATAGCATGATTTCATGCCGCACAGAAGCCTTGAGTAGATTAGAGCAAAAACATCAGCTGCACTGAATTTGTATGTTCCCCTCATGACGTGTTAATATAAATATATATAGAATTTGCTGCTTCCTAAACCGGTCCTTGAATGTGTGTGTGACTTTGTCTTGGATATTAGATTGTAAATTCCACTGGGATGCGGGCTAAAATGAAGATGTATGCCAGAAGTTGAAATTCTGTTAAATCCACCAGAGGACCCAATTCACACAGCACTTGGTCCCATTTAAATCCGTGCAGTGGTTGCTGAGCTAGTAGTGTCGACAGCCAGCCTCCCACCACTGCTAGGACAAAACATCTGCAGCCCTCCTCCTCTCTCCCCTGAATAAGGCTGGCTATAGCTTCCTCATATAAGCATTCATAAACTGGGCTTTAGTCAGGAGTGGACGTACAGCCAGCACTGACAAAAAAAATAAATAATTTTTATTTTAAACCCACTTCACAGATCTAAACAGGACCGTGTGCTATATGCGCTGGATCCACTGAGGGATTCAGCAAAGATTTTCAGCTTCTGGTTATAGTTCTTCTATACTTGACGCTGGTATAGGAAGTTAGGAGTATTCCCCCAGCTAAAGCGCAAACAAAAAAACAATCTGACAAAGGCTCCAAGTCTTAGATGTTTCCATTCCATTCTTCCTTTTTCGGAGACTATTTGTCACTGGGACAGATTATAAGGAGAATCCTATCTAGAGGAACCAGAACATCAAAAACATGACTGGCCTTTTGGTTGGAGTTTCAATAAATTAGTAATTTTTTTACATGTGTACATTTTAGTACATACAGCACACATACACACATACATATACACATACATATACACACACACACACACACACACACACACACACACACATATATATATAGTCTATGTATTAAGCATCAGTATAAAAACAAATTGAAGACACAGCAATACAAACAATACAAAGCATTGCACTAGCTGTCCTTGTGCTTTAAACTATTTGCTTTTACAATGCTTTTAAGTAAAAAAAAAATCACTAAATGCTTTAGTACTGCTTCACTAGCCTCCTATTCTGTGCTTTTCTGCATGTCCTAGCCATGTGTTTGTGTGTGCGCACTGACTATTATTGAGTATTCTCGTCACAAAGAAAGGTATTCACTCTATACATCTCTGCCAGATGACAGATAAAGAGATCAGATTATTTGCTTACAAGGTCAGATGGTTAAATCCCACTGTTCTCAAGGTGAAAGCTCGAGCTAGAAGCCGTATATGGGTAAACTCAACTCCAATTGCTTCTTCAAATTTGGTCAGCTTCTTAAGGACCGGTGATGTCTCAATCAGCTGTCGATCCGTGTTAGATTCCTGAAGCTGACAAAAAGAGGAGCATGAAACTTATTAAACCTCATTCGCTGTAGACATAAATGCATGGCTTCTGTAACTGTAACAAATATTGTTAGTATGTTTATATTAAACAAAATGGCAATAAAATGTCAGGCTTGCTTCCTTGTCAGCTCTTTTATCAATTTCAGACAGCATTGGTAATCAATTCTCCCCCGTCGCCTGACTGGCATACCCATGGATCACCTACATTGCTTATTTGTTTTGATTTGAAAGTTATTCTTATCATAAAAAGTGGTTCTATTAAGGATGAGATGACACCCCGCTAGGCTCGATCCTCTATTTTGCATAGACAGTTGTCATAATTCTCCCTGCTAGTTTATGCGAAAGCAAATAAAGCTGAATCAGAACAGCACGCAGATCAGAAAAGCAAAAATGAAATGCCATGTTTATCGCTCTAAATAAATTATATTTAGTTACAAATAAAGTAAAAAATGTATCAGTAATCAGCCCAATAAATCTACTCAAACTACAAATATGTAAACTATACACACTCTGGCATATGTAAATAAACATCAGGGCTTTTTTTTCTTAATGCTTGTTGGGAAAAATAAAAAAGACAAAATAATCTATATTATACTAGCATAATTCTATGTGCGATTGATCTGGGAAGAAAAAGCAATGAGCAAAGCGGCAAGTTAATAGTCTTTATTTTAATCAATTATTTCTATTATGCGGTCAAAAGATCCAAGTGGTCATTCTTTATTCTAAGCAGTTATTGAAGACGATGAAATCAAACATGCAACAGAGGTTTACTGCATAATTATGAAATGTTGATTATTAAACTGGACTTGTCACTGGCACAACATGGTAGAGCTTCAAGCAAATGTTTTAACCTGATTATAGCTGGACAATTCTCTCTGGATCCAGCTTTGCACATGTGCTTGACATTGACATCATCTAGGATGATGAAAATATATATGATTATGCATTACCACATGAACAGCCCATTTGCTAGGAAGGTGACCACTAACTGTGCTGTTCACCCAGTCTTGTGATCCAGGTAGCATTGCCAGATAACATAGCAAGATCAGCAACCTCCCTTCTCTCCACTGTAGTTAAGCAATGCAGCTTGGTCAGACAGAGAAAGCTTAAAGGACAATTCAGGAGCACCACCATTCTGATCATCCTGAGTAACCTCCCCATGTTAGGTTAATGCAATGAAGATGACACAGGTAGATCCAGTGGCCTCACTTTGTTCCTCTGCATTTGAACAAAACATGAGGCTAGAATAGTTCTTCTGCAACAGCTTTGTGGTGCTGGTCTTGGCAGAGGGCTTGAAAGTAAATATTTAGGTATGTGGTTAAAACTAAGGGGGCTGGGCAAATTTCTAAAAGACAACTTCACTAAAAGACTGGTAACGTCACTTTTCTCTACTGTAAATAAACAATACAGATTGGGCACCACTCTGTCTGAAGCCTACTAACTGGACTATGTAGAAGTATGACCATACTGATTAGGTCATCATTCTGCACCCTCTGATTGTCAGTAAACCATTTCATGTTGATAGTATTGTGCAATGCAGTAGAATTGGCCTAACTCTCGTGTTGCACAGTGACAAAAGACGTTAATATAAAGACAAGTTAAAGCATTTATACTAGTAGTATAAAATACATTGAATTACCTTTTGGGAACCCATAATTACACATTACGTGGAGCTCTTTTTTTTATCTGCCTGAAATTTAGTTTCAAAAGTGGTGCATATTGCATATCTGATCATCTTGAAATACTCAGCAGACCTTAAACAAATTCACAGTATGCACAAATACCATTGTAATCTGTTTATCATTTCATTCTTCATCTCCAGCGCTGAATATGACACTGGAAAGAACAACAATCTAACAAAACAGAAAACGTAATATTAAATATTAATAATAAAATGTTTTAGCCGTATGCAAAACTGGTTTTAGATTAAGGCCTCTTTTAAACAATGGCTTGTTCACATCATAAAAAATAAAAAATGACATCTTCGCCCTCAGCAAAATAAAAAAGTCACTAAAATAAATGTTCTTGAGGGACAGAAAAGAAATTGGCTCATGTTTGTCGGAGGCAGAGTTAATTCCAGTTGTTTGGTTTACACACTTCAGAGGATGATATATATATGTATACAGCACCCAGCTTGTTAATAAATCCAGTACTGGTATCATGAATGTCACAGAAAGGAATCAAAGAGAAGCAGAAAATAAATAAAGAGCAATAAATGCTACCATATATATTATATTACAATAAGAGGAGAGTTTGCTTACTTGAAGTGGGTGTAGAGGATAATTAAGCCACACGTCCCGCAGGTCCTGTAGATGTTGAAAAATGTCATTAATGCTCTAGGCAATCATTTAGCAAATTCCACAACACTAAATAAAATGTCATTACTTGAAATATGCAACTATTTTAGATGCTGACTCGGCTCATGGAAAATCCAATACTGCCTGCAAATTAATTTGAAAATAAAAAGCTTATACACAACTGACATCTACTCAAAATTTTACTAAGCAAGGCTTAGAGTGAAAAGGATAACATCACTGAACGAAATTAGGATAACAAAAAAAAAGGAACTAGATGCCAAATGAATTGCATATGTTCTGATGGGATAAAAAGGGTTTCCCATTTCCAATGGTCCAATTCATACATATGTGACGAGCAAAAGATGAGGAAACAAATAGGATTTTTCTTTTACTCACCGTAAAAGGTTTTCTCTGCATTCATTGAAGGACACAGCAGAGATCTTGATCTCTGTACCGATGGGTTATACTGCCACTTGTAGCAGAGACTGCCTGGCTTCCTAACCAATCAGGACGCGGGGCGGCGAGTCATAAGGTGTCGTCCGGCTTCCTGATTGGTCAGGAAGCCAGGCTGCTTAGCAACACATGAAGGAATCTTCCTAGCCAATCAGAAAGCTGGGAGGCGGGTCATAACCCACCGCCCGGCTTCCTGATTGGAAAAGAAGCTGGATCCATGCTCCCTCGGGCACTGCCGGTCAGAGGGAGATCTCCCTCTGACCGGAAGTTCCGGTATAGGAGGTAAGTATCGGAGCATTTGGGCGAGTAAGGGTACTCGCTCAAATACTCTGTATTGACACTGCTACAGATATTAGTATCGGTGCATCCCTATCTAGGGCGAAGAGCTACCTCACCTTTATGTAAAATAAAAAAGGAGGTTTACAACATATGGCAGGTATTCCCAAACTCTCTGAGCCACCCTCTGTGAAAAATTGAATAAAGGGATAGCATAAATATTCTCAAAAAGAGAATTCTGTAAAACCGAAAGTACCAAATTTAAATTCCACAGAGGATACTTGACAGGAGGAGAAACATGAAGACCGCTTGACTGAAGGTACAAACCAAGAATTTCAAGGCTAATGGGTGCTGGGACAAAATTCCCAATGACGAAACCTGACCTTCATAGCAGAGTTTGATCTATACCCCAAAGAAGAAAGGTTAAAAACTGAGCAGCCAAACAGGCACGAGGAGAAATACTAAGCCCCTCACACCAAGAAAAGAAAGATTTCCAGGTTTGAGGATATCATTTCTGAGAAGTAGACTTAAATGCTTTAAGTATCGTGGGGATCACAGATTCAGACCACCCCCTATCTCTCAGCACTTGGTTTTCAAAAGTCATACTCTTAAAGCCAGAGACTGTAAAGCAGGATGTAAGAATGGAGCTTGGGACAAAAGTCTGGTCATAGAGGAAGCCAACATAGGATGTCTACAAAAAGTGAAGAGAAAAATAATTAAATAGCCTACTAAGGATATAAAATAGGAACAAAAGATCCCCAGCAGGGAGATAGGTCCTTGCTCCTTGACACTAGGCAAAAAAACTGAGCTGCCTTTGATGGGGGTGTGGGCACCAGCAGAAGCCGCCCCCGGAGCTTAGCTTTTTTTTGTGTGCTTAGCATCCTACTTCAGCAAGTGGTAATATAATCCATTGATACATAGATCAAGAGCTCTGCTGTGTCCTTCAATGAACGAAAGAGAAAGTACATGTAAAAAAATTAAAGCTTAGCGTACATAAATGATTTCTTCTCTAGCTTCTAGAACTAAAAATTAGTGCAATCAAACATGTGCCCCATGACAATGGGGTTGATTTACTAAAGAAGAGCATGTTCACTTTGCACAGTGAATTTTTACTCAGGCTATTGAATGAGGTGAAGCTGTGCTGATGATTAGGTGCTGCACTCCTTCAGTAAATCAGCCCTATTGCTTCCCAAAGTGTGGGATGAGTATCACTGGTGGTACACATTATCCAGGTAGGTGAAAATTTTAAGAGAGCCTTGTTACTTCATGTTATGTAAATAACAGATTGTATTTACCAACCTGGGGTACGCTCCAGATTGTTTAAGGGTACAAAAATAAAAAGACTAATGGCAAAAAAGCAGTGGTGTACCTATGACTGTAAACAACGTGTCTTTTGGTCGCTAGGCGACACTAGGCAGCAGCAGCAGCAGCGCAGGCCTTGTTGGGTATGAGCTGGAGGAGTTGAGTGATCTGACTTTACCCTCCTCTTGCTTTAGGTGGACTTTAACCTTCCCTGTCTACTTTTTATCATCTCCCTCTTCTACCCTCCTTTCACACAATCACACATTGGATTTTTTTTAATACCTTTTTTGGGACCCCTCTTGAGTTTCTAGGATTGTTGCCTAGGTGAGAGTGATGTCCCAGTTGCCTGCAGCATCTTAGGATACTCATATCATGTATACCAGAAGGCCTCAGTGTACTCCGCAACGCATGCACCATTGTGGGTCATCAAGAGGCCAATTGTCTCTTTCAAATTCTTGCAGCCGGACCCCTGATGATGTGCCACAGCACGTGTACTGAATCATAATTCTGCCTGATGCCCACCTCCTGCAACCCAAATCTCAGTATATTGTGAGCTACAGCTCGCGGTATACTTAGATAGCAACAGTCGAGATTGACCCAGCTGCATGAGTGACGGCTGGCGCTGCCTATCTAGAGACAGCTGTACCCTCCCCTCCCCCGTCCGTTCTTCCAGTCAGCACTGGAGAATAGGGAATAGGGTGGGGAGAGGGGGGGGGGGGGCAATCCCTGCAGGGAGCCGTGACCGATACGGCTCTCTGCAGGGAGATGATCGAGAAGTGAGCGAGCGTCGGTATGTGTTGGCTCATTTCCGAATCTATTGAGCCGACGTGTGACAGTTTCACGTCGGCTCGAACTACGAGGATGAGTTCTCCTTTAATGGCTTGAAAATGGGACACAACAGCTGCCATCCAGTTTATCAGCGGCATTAGAGCGGAGAGCCCTACAGCTTCACATTACCCCTCTACCTCCCCCACTGAAAGTTTTTACTAAGCATGCAAGTTCATTTTAAAACTAGGCTGTCAACATAGCCTGCACACATCATTCAAATCCCAAATACACACACTGTAATCTTATTTGAAAGCCAAAAGGGGTCAAGGCTTCAGCAGTTGAATTCAGTAAGGTTGCATTGGCAGGCAAAGGCTTTCACAATAGTCAACTTCAGCAGTGATTCTGATGGATTAAAGAAGGTGCTGCATTTTCTTTAATTTATGCATGTTATGAAAAGTTCATACTTAAAAGCAGCAATTTATATATATTTTTGATACATTTCAATTGACTGAATAGAGTAAATATGCCAGAACAAATTTAACAATCATATGATTATAAGCACAGTTGCTAGGACAACACTTCCATTTCATTTTAGCAGTTTAAATGATACATGGAGAAAAATGAGCAAGGTTGCAAAGGCAAAAATGCACAAATCTACGCTACAGACCCTGGCACTCCTCAGGGACTTGTTGGAATGTTTTGTTCTCCCTGAATTCGTTTTTAACCAGTTGTGAACACTGGGTATATTACACACACCCTATAAAAGCATACAAGGCGTGTGTGGTGCACCCCTGTCCTTTTGTCCTGCTGACGCTCACCCCCTCCCACTTGCTGGAGATTCCAGACTATCAAAATGGCATTTGGGAGTTGCCGTGTAAATACAAAATACGGGTGTCAAAAAGATGGACCACCTGACACGGTGTTTATAAACACTGTTCAGTGGTGAGATACAGATATACAGAGTAACATTGTTACTTTTGTATTTACTCGGTTTCATTCATCTGCAGATCAGCTTCACACTTTGTATGAGGCCCACTAAAACTGACATTTAAAAAAAAAAATATTGGGTTTAAATAATTGTTCTTATTTACCCTTATTAACTTTTAATTTACCCTAATCAGCCCTAATTAACTCCTTTGCCTTCTCTCCTTAACGATAATTTTCCTGCTCATTTTATTTGTCAACTCATTCATATTTATACTTTTCATATGGTTCACTCATTTTAAATTTTTTCATTACAAAAAAAATGCAAAATTGGAAAGAAAAAAACTTTTTTTTATCATTTTAGTTTCAATATAAATGGGACGAATGATAGAATTAATTGAATACTTTTTATCAACAGTAACACTATTTAATTAAATAACACTGATCAGATGAGAAGAAAAAAAATTAAAGTTTTGTTTCTTTTTTGTCTATGGATTGCATAAAAAGATATATGCATCCTCCGCTCCAGCGATGGTATGTCCCTCGACATCCTCGCATTATATACACTGAGGGGAATTTATCAAAACTAGAGCAGACAAAATCTGGAGCAGCTGTGCATGGCAACCAATCAGCTTCTCTCTTTTAATTTTCAAATCTTAATTGAACAGGGACCGGTCTAACAACAAGCATTTTTGTTATTTTTGCACCTAGACACAAACAAGCAATTAACCCTTGCTGTGCCAGGTAGCCCCACTGCAAGGGCTAAGAAAAAGTTTGCACGGAGATCTGCTTTAACAAAGACCTTAAACGTAAACCCTTAACCTACCTTTGAATGTCTGAGAAAAAAAAAAACATTCAGTACATCTTAGCAATATATGCACATTTTCCCATGTTTTGTCTCCTGAAAAATGTAGCAAGCATAGAAAAATACCTGTAGATCATACCAGAAGTCCAGTATGTTTCTAACTTCCTGCCATGAGATGACAATGTTGCCGTTGCTGCTTTGAAACCAGAAGCAGTGTTGTTGGCCTTGCCTGAATTTTTCCACTGTAACCAGGAAAATACTGAGGAGAATTTATCAAAACTGGAGCAGACATAATCTGGAGCAGCCGTGCACGGCAACCAAACAGCTTCTTTCTTTCATTTTCAAATCTTAACTGAACAAACTGAAGAGAGAAGCTGATTGGTTGCCCTCTGCAACTGCTCCAGTTTCTGTCTGCTCCAGTTTTCAATTTTAATAAATTCCCCTCACTGTCTTCTAAAAATTGTTCCTAGAGCATGACTGTACTAAGGACAATTGATTTGGCACTAGTAGTAGTAGTCTGCAAAGCACTGTGTAATAAAACTATTATTATACAAATAACTGCTTTGATTCTTCAAGTCCACCTTCATAGTACACAGCGCCTGTAGAAATATGTAGGTAAAATGGGAAAGAGGATATTAGCAGGACAATATCAAGTCCAAATTCTTCATAGAAATGTAATTGTTTTAATACGTTTTAGAGTGCTATAAGACAACAAGGAAAATCCTCATATATACCCCACCTCACCTGAACTGACCTACACCAACATCCCACACCCCAGCTTCTCACCTAAATTGTGTAGCAGAGCTGCATTCTATGCAATGCATACACCAACTCTGGCAGAAAGCCTCTTCAGCAATGTCAGTGCCTGTGCACTAAGCCCATATAGACTTGTATGGGCCTGTCCCGAGACACTAAAGCTGCTGCTGGTATGGCTTCATACAAGTCTTTGAGGGCTCAGAATGCAGATGCAGCTAGCGACAAAGAAAATTTCTGCCGGGGAGAATACAGTGCTGCAAGACACGGCTTTGCTAAATGAAGAAGGAAGGTTGCGGAGTGAGTTCAGGAGGGGTGGGCTATGGGACTTTCCTTAAACTAAACGTATCTTTTAGTGTGACTGTGAAGTATACGTCAAGGCAAAACGTTGGTTTCTAGTTTTGGATAGAGTAGGGGGCATGTGAACTCGTGTTGGGTTTCTACTGTTACCCAAGCCTCTGTTAGAGAGGTTCATCTTCTTGTCCAGCTGACAATCATTTCACCATGAGGAAGCAAGGGAAAAATCTAAAATAGGGACACAAACAAAAGCAAAAATTGGACACGGGGTCTAGCCTTTCCCCTGCTCTACCTCTATTTGTGTCTATGTTACTGCTGGAGAGTGCAGCTTACTTCCTTTCTGATCAAACAGAACAGGAAGTGAGGGAAAATTCTCTTGAAAAGAGCCCTACATAGCCATAAAAATAAACGAACATGGGCTCTGACCCTTGTTATCCAAAATTAAGAAAAATGGTTTTAGCTGGACATGTCAGACACCTTGTGAAAAAAATAAAAACATATTTACATACAGAACACTAAATAGAAAAAAAAATTCTTACAGAATAGAAAAAAATATATGGTGATTAATATGGTAATAATGGCTGATTTTGGTTAACAAGGATTTAATAAGGGATTCAAATTAATCATTTTTATTAAAAATAAAAAAAAGGTTGCTGTAACTGTTGCGTGCAAATCAAAGGACGCCTATTTGATCTACACGTAAAAAACAACTAAGCAAAACATATTGTAAATATATTGTTACAATGTATGTGCATGGTTTTCAGATTGCATTCACACAGCAGCAGCTGTCAGTGTTCTTAAAGACACAGAGTGGGACCCAGTTTCAAAACTGGTAATTTCACAGAGCAAAATGGAACGGTAACATGCAAAGGTAGGTGAGAACACCCAAAATTTCCAAGTACACAAAGTCAGAAATGCTGGCAGGAAGATCTTGGTGTTGGAGTATCCAAGCCATAAGAAACCAGGGTCTGATTTAAAACACCAGAATCGACCTATAACTAAAATATGACTTTTTGATGGACTGACACTTTAAAGACTGTAACATGTAATAATAATAGATACATCTAATGTTCTTTAAGGTAGAAAAAAATGGTCTTACCAATAGGTGACAAAAGAGATAGAATAAGAGTTAATGTAACATTATCTGAAAGCATTGCTAATAAGGCATTACTACAAAGATTGTAAGGGGACTTATATCTTAAGGTAAACAAAGACAAGCTATCACATCCTCTAAAATTAACAGTGAAATACATAAACATATTTTACTGCGTGCAGAAGACATCCCATCTTTGCATATTTGCATATATAGATACTGCAGGAGTGGGAGCTGTCAAGACAGAATTAAATATTGCTGCAGTACTGCACTCGGAGATTATAGTGCAAAGCAATAGAATATGCTGGGACTATATAAAAAGATGATAAAAATATGATGAAAAACACCTGACAGGCCTGAAACAAAGAAGATTTCCATTACTGGCAGCTGCATCTCTCATCAGAAAACTGAACCTTAGAATAAAGCCCTTATACATTCAAATCTTTCTCAGGCAGATGTCTCTAATAAGGCTGTAAGAATCCATAAATTGTTCATGCGCAAAATCAAAACTATACACTAATTACCCATTAGAGCTTCAAAGCAGTTTGCCATGGCATGCCGCAAATCTGATTCTCTACACAGGTCGGGTCCATGTGCGTAGAGCATGAAGCGATCTAGTTCCAGTTTCTGCAGAAGAATAGGAGATCATATTAACAAAACACAGTTCCTGTCATAATTGTGACCAAATACAAGAACAATATGTCTCTTTTCTATTTCATTCTGGCTGTATTTTTCCTTTTATATTACACGAAAGCATCTTCCATACATATTAAATTACAACAAATCTGATTTATGGCTTAAGCTTAAGAGAACCCCTTTAAATTAAATTTTCAAAGAAAGTCAAAATCCCCATTTGCCTGGGACCCTTTGCCTGTAGGAGGTCCTCACCACAATACCTTTGTAAGCAGCAGCTGGGCCCCAGATCTGCTGTTTGAGGTTCTCAGAGGACAGATTCCTGACTCTAATATAAAGGTTCCCATTGAGAACACCAGTGAACTTTCTGCTCATACTGCAATAAAAGACTTCACCAGCAACTAGACTAGCAGGTTGAATCTGTAAAGTACAGATCTGATGTCATATTTATTACAGGTATTTATATAGCGCCGACAATTTACGCAGCACTTTACATAGTTGCACGTTCACATCAGTCCCTACCCTCATATGAAACTTAAGGACAGTATGAGCCATCTGTTTTAATATGCTGAGGGTCACAAACAAGAGATTTCTTAAACAATTCCTGCAGCAAATAAATAGTTTGATGAATAATGTCTGACAGATGTGGTCACTGTACAACCGAACCCATGATATATTGATTGAAAAGCAATCTTGTGCAAAACTACCAAAGCCATCATTTGTAGCAAGATAATTTTAACTGTGGAATATGGAGATCTCTAAAACAAAAGAGCAGGTAGAAGTCCAAAGGGGATAGCAAGTATGAACATTTAAAAATAGGATACAGTTACACTTTAACGAAAAGTCAGGTCTACTCGAATCTAATAATTCAGTAGGTTGATGCCATCCCAGTTTTGGATAGTTCATGGTAACTCCAGTGGCTTAGTCTGTTCATTTATTTTACATTATGTAATATGCAACAGAAGCATGATGTTCTTGCTTAAATTTATAAGGGATTGCATGCATGGGCATTTTTTGCTTTTGAATTGCTTTCCTTTCTCATAGAAGTCAATGTGTAGCTCAAAGTCTCTCAGAAGCAGCTCAAAGCAACTTGCCTGAGGCTACTTATAAGCTAATCATAAGCAACGTAGAAGCAGTTTACAGAAACTCAAACAAAAGCCTAAGCAACCCAAATGCAGACAGCATTAGACTTGCTTCTGAGTCTAAAGCCTGTTAGAGTAACCCTGAGTTTGCAGAAGTCAAGGATGGGTCAACCTTTCGATCACAAACCACACCTAAAATAATAACTCTGTTTAGGAATAAAATGACAGATTTTCAAGTATATTTTTTTCTAGTTTCTAATTAAAATATTACTACAAATATTTATTGTCAGTTTAGCAGCCAGAATAGCAAATAGTAAAGGTGTACCTAATGAGCTGTTGCCCATTGAACCCAGAATATTAGGTTTATCGATTCCAGTTAAATGTTGTATTTTTCAATTGCTCCAGCTTTCACATACAGTATATGCCTATATGTGCTCACCAACCACACAAAGAGAGAATATCCTGGGATTCATCAACAGCTATAACGTTTGAAAAATGTCCAGCAGCAAATCACAAAGGGAAATCCGTAAGCGTTGTAAATCAAGATATGTAAATCCAAATGCAGAAACTTAATTACATAGAAGAAGTTATACAGAGATTGGTTCACACAAAGATTTTGAAAAACAGAGGGTAGTTTGCGGCTAACAGACTCAGAACACAAGGGACTGGCAAGTGCCGCAATATAGATGTCAATGTCCGAAGGCGTTCAGACACTGGTCACCAGAAGTTTTACACCACTCTGGGTCTGGGGAGTGGTCTTTTGTAAATTATATTATTTCAATAGTATGTAAGTACCATAATAGACAGCATAGAGTTCAATGAAAATATACTAGGATTTCATTGCCACATTTGTGGGCTTACATCTCCTGGAAGATATCATAGACTGGATATCATAGACTGGAGACTGAATCACTGCTCTGAATCTGCAGAAGGCTCTGTGGCTAACAGACACAAAATATATAGACTGTAAGCAACATAACGCAGACCCCATTGATTAAATGTCACATACCAGGCTAAGTAGCCATTTCTTTAAAGGCATACTTGCAAGCAGAGAATGGATTACATTAGAGGTTGTACCACTGCTCTTAAACTGATGACTAAGTGACACAGTACAAACTGGTTGGGAAGCACCAAAATGCAAAGCTCAGTGCTCAAATGCCACATATCGAGCTATGAAGCCAATTTGACAGAAGACACAATGCCACTAGAGGAATAGTAGTGGTGGAGCTGCCCAGTTCTACACAACAAAAACTTTTGTGAGCGAATTCATTTTATTCACCATTTTACATGAACGTTTTTTGAACTAATACACAATGCCAGTGCGCTTCTCTGCTCTTGTTTCCTGGTTCATATGAGTGCTTTGCCCCTGTACTTTCACAGAGCTGCAAGGCTGGACTGTTTTATTTATATTGTTTCATAAGATCCTTATTGTGGCTATTTTAGTAATGTATTTGTTTTTAGTTCATCTTTGCTTTGTTATATTGCTTGGAACATGCAAATTGTTGACGATGACCACACCTGCGCAATACATAGTAATTGTGGCAACTGTAATTTTATAGAAGCATACTTGCACAGTGAGCAAACAGAGACTGTGTTAAACCAGAGGCTGTTCCACAGCTCTGAAACTGGAGAATGTTCTGGGTTTAACTGACAGTCTGGAATGTGCAGTAGAGCAAATGTGCTAAACTGACTTCCTGCCTTGGTGACAACTGATCCTCCCATTTCTTTTATGTATGTCACAGAGACTGGAAGTGAGATTTAAAAAAACAAAATCTCTTCTGCGCTTTATCCAAAGCAAAAATCCTGCCTGGAGTTCGTCTTTATTATGTAAAGATACTTGGAGAGTATTTTTAATTTTAGTTTCATCATACTGTTTATTGAGAATTTTAAAATAATTCACTGTTCAGTTCTACACTTACCATGCAGGTCAGCTCTCATCCCCAAATGCTGGATGAGATTGTAATACCTTATACATGAGGTTCATGGCAGGTTAGCCGTTAACAGAAATAACTTTCTAAAAAGCTCAAAATCTTACACTGCTAAAAATGCACTTACCTTTTTTTGTTAAGTGCTTTGACTTTTTAGCTTATTTTATATTGCCATGTACATAATGCATCTTGCATTATGACAAGCTCTGGACTTCTTTTCTAAATGTACAGGGTTTAATACTTTTTTTGTATAACTGTGCTGTACAAAACTATGTCAACAGGCTAAAACAGGGATAATGGTGGTGTGAGTAAGCACTATTCAAAAAGAATAAAGGTCTTATTGAAGGTCCCTTCATTGCCATGAAGTCCATTGCAGATCATCAGCAGATGCCTTTTGTTTGTACCATCATGATAATCATGATAATGCCATTATATGCATATTAACGGCTTCCTCTCCAGCACTGCAAGTAAGCCCTTTCCCTGCCATGTAAAATAATCTATAGCGAGGGAGTATAGGAGCTGGAATTGCTGACTTCTCTTTCTGAAAATACAAATTACTTGGTTGCTAATACAATGGCTTCAGTACTTTCTAAGTCTAAGTGAAAATTAGGAGTTCTGACAGCAATCTGACTTTTCCAATTTGCATATTTGCCCTGGGTCAGTGTTCTAAAGCATTTGAAAAAGAGACAAGACATGCAACAAGTATTTTTAGGAGGTCAGCACTGACAACATTGGAACGTACTCTAGCTGCCTGTAACATACAGAATAGGGTAAACAACTGTTTAAGGAAGATGTCTATTACTGCCAGCAGTCACAATCAGACCTACTTGGAAGTCTGATTATGCAGGAAGTAAAAAGAGAGGATTGTACATTACACATATTTTAGAATTCACCCTCCTAATGAGCCTGCAAGCCAGTTTGTGTGTGTTGAGCTGACAGTGGGCTGTAGAAAACTCAGATTAAGATAAATTAAGTGGAATTTTAGCAAAGCTGCAATATTTTGGAAAGTATTTGGAGCACACCCATTGCAGTCACTTAATTCTTGAAGTTCCTTTAAACTTTTTAGAATTACAAGTCCTTCCTTGACTAGATTACAGTTGGACCGCTAGAGTGAATGGTGTTTGACCTAGTAAGGAGAACTAAAACTGCCACTGTACTGGTTTCATAAATAGTCTCCCAGCACACCCCAGCCAAATCTGGTAAAATATACAGTAGACTGCACAAGTAGTTTCCATTTAATAAAGGGTAGCATTTTGAGCCACTGTAGTAGCATTTTAGTGTAAAGGTTGCTTTAACAAAGGTGGCAACATTTGATCTATACACTATTCTATGCTCTAGTCTGCGTTAGTTTTCAAAGAAGAAAGGAAAAAGTCCCAATTTTCATGTTGGTACTGGATGTCCTGACCAAATAATGCATATTTCCTAGCAGAAGATGCTCTCAAACAGAAACCACAACAAATGAGATTGGAGACTGCTGGGTTAAAGCATTCATTCAAACAAGAATAGAAACGGCAATTTAATGCAATGGAATAGTTCAATGTCGTTGTTAACATTCAGAGTGATAAAATATTTATTGGCATATCTGAAATGTCTTATACTGTAAGATACATTAAATAACTGCCTGTCACAGAGCTCTTCGGGTTACAAAATTGGCACAAATGTACTTTGATCATTTTTTTTCCCTTAAATTGCGGAAAAAAAATTAAACGCTTACATTCTTTCTGTAATAAGAGCATATTCATCTGCTTAAATTTAAAGGTTAAGCAAGAAGAAAGTATTTTAATTGTGTGACTGTACTTTAATGCCATATTTTTCCATTATTGCTGATTAGATACTCATCTGGAAAACGGCTACAGTTGGTTTTATAATTTTTTTTTATCAGCAAATTAGCAGAATAGGAATGTGTGTAGGGTGGAGAGGGGGAGTTCTATACATACAAATTTAGTCTATCCTAACGATTGTGACATTTATAAAGACGCAAATG